AATATCACAGCTCTTAATTTAAAACTAGTACGCTATCATAAAAATACATCACGAGCGACAACAGTACAATATAAGAACGGGCTATAGATCACCAGTAACTGAAGGTTGATCACCATACTAAGGACCATGGGGACTTACAGTACCTTTGATACCTGCATAGACAGATTTCTTGGAAGAAAGTTATCAAAACTGAAGCTATAGGGGTCTACAAAACGGCCGTTACTGACGAACTAAAGAACATCACTATCAAAGCCACTAACCCGTGCCACGACCATGTTGAAGCTTGAATTGTCTAGTTTACAGCATCAAAAAAGTCGGTAGAGATACCCTGTCGAGCAAAACGTTCATGCCACACTTGAAGCCCTACTGGACCAAAGTTATTAAAAATCACCATGACATAATGAGACACTTCCGGCATATGTGGTTAGCAGCCGGAAAACCTCGTGACCCTAGTAACACCGCATATGTAGACTATAGATAAGCCAAGTGTGACTTCAGAAGAGAACTACGTCATGCCTCCAAAGAATATATACAGTCCAAAAATGTTGAAATAGACACTGCATGTGAACTAGATCAAAACCTATTCTGGCGTCTTGTAAAAGGTCGGGGTCATACTAACAGGGCGCCAAGCATAGGCAGTCTTGTGCTTAACGGTGAAAGACTTACATCAACAGCCGATATCCTAAGTGGATGGGCAGATCATTTCCAAATTGTGTTCACCTGTGATAACAACCCTAAACATGACAAGATCTTTGCAGAATATGTCTCCTCTAAAGTAAACCAACTAAGGAGCGACAATGCCAGCAAGGCCTGTGATGTGCGACTAACAAGCCGTGAGGAAGTGTCAAGGATGCGCTTGTCCCTCAAAAACAATAAAGCAGGAACACCTCAACTATGGCGGCACATACATCAACATCTCTCTAAGCTGTTCAACCTGGTAATGTTTATGGGACACATCCCATCAAGCTGGAAATGCAGTACTATTGTACCGATTCACAAAGGTGGGAACAAACGTAAGTCCGACCCAAACTCCTACAGAGGCAATTCTCTCGCTCCTGTTATAGCCAAAGTCTTTGAGAAGGTTCTTGAAGAGACACTCCCAGAATTACAAACAGATTGGAACTTTCGTAACAAACAACAAATGGCCTATCAAAAAGGACTCTCTTCAATTCATGCATCCTTCAACCTACAGGAGACTATACATCACTATCAGGAACGTAATGATTGTGTACATGTGGCTTTCCTAGATTCAACAAAGCATTTGACTCTGTGTGGCATGGTGGACTAAAACTAAAGCTATTCAATATTAGTATCTATGACAGAAGGTGGTCACTACTGGACTCTCTATATACAGAAATGAAGAGTTGTTTAAAGCTTGGTTCTGAGAGCTCCGGTAACTTCACTTTGCAACGTGGGGTTCGCCAAGGAGGCGTCCTATCAGCCAAGTTATATCTTCTTCATATTAAACGAACTACTGAATAAACTAACTTCTTCTAACAAAGCAGCTGAAGTCCTCGACATAAATGCCGGATGTCCAACACAAGCAGACGACATAGCTGTCATCAGTCCAAGAATTCCCTGTCTTCAAGACCTTCGCCATATCTGTGAAGACTACAGTAACCATTTGCGTTTCAACTTACTTCTCTCCCTCGAAGAGCACTGTGATCGGCTTCATGAACAAGCCCGGTGATGAAGTACAAACAGGAAGACTCACCCTGTGCAAAGAACCAATCCCTGTATCGCATAGTGTCAAGCATGTGGGTATTCTCCTCGACAAGAAGTTTAACAGCATGGAGAGAACTGTTTCAGCCTGCAGGTCTCATAAAACAAGTGTTAGATCATTCATAAAGTATGGTGCTCATAAATCAGCTCTTAATCCGATGACAGGTGCCAAACTTATCAAACTGTGTTGTCTTCGAAAAGCACTATATGGGTTTGAACTCTGGAACTCCATCCAGCCTACAGAGATGAAAATGTTAGAGAGGGCACAACACCACTGCATCAAAGCTACACAAGGACTTCCCAACAGAACACATTCTGACATGTGTCAGAGCTTGCTAGGCTGGCATCCAAGAGAAGCTTACATGCACAGGAAGAAGCTTCTTTTCTTGAGTCAAATTCTTCACCTCCACCCCAGAGCTCTGCCAAAACAGCTTCTGCTCACTAGACTCATGGAATACAGACAACAATGTTCTCCAAAGTATTATAGATTCGTTCCCGATGCCATCGGAATATTACACAAATATGTGCTCTCCACTCACATTGGGAAATTCTTGGACACGAACATTTTCCAAAGTCACTCATCATGGAAGGCGCTAACAGCAAAAACGATCCATTCTGTGCAATCCAGGATGTGGGCTGATAGAGTAGCAAACGAAAGAGACTTCGACATTTTCAGACAGATTCACCCAAGAATAGAGACACACTCCGCATGGAAGCTGTGTAAGCTGTACCCTCATATTACAGTCAATGCACAGTTCCATGTTCTACTGTGTGCCTCTGTGAGGAGCTCGACACCAGATATACTGTGTCATAAGTGTGGACTGTTCTTCAACAACGTGTTTGTACATTACAGCAACAGTGACTCCACAATGACACTCCGCGACAATCTCTGGACAGAACTAGCCAATATAGGATGTCTGGAGTTTAGTGTGTATCTGCACGGTATCCTCCCATTTGTTACACATGCCAGTTGTTACACACCTCAATACACATACGGTCACAGATCACTGCACACACCTATTACCTTTTAGTGAGGAATGGGATACTTCATACTCGTTAGAGACATAGAAAAAGAACGCAACAATTGATTAGCACTACATATCATTTTATTGCATTTTATATGCATTTGTTTGCAAATCCATGTATAAGAAGTTTATCATTCTTCGATGTCTTTTATCATTTATTTCTAAACCACTGGTTCAACTCAGCACATAGATTTCACATAACAAGAGTCTCAACCAAGCTTAATCAAATGTCTAATAGCATCAAGGAAGTCAAGTGGTGTCCTGGTACCCTGGTGAAGCTGGCCTTTCAGTCTCTGGATTCTGTTCTCCAACTCCTTGTACACTCGCTTTCTGGTAGGAGGAGCTGCACCGAAGTCGATCTAAAACAGCTTGGCTCGGTCTGCGGACTCGATCTTGCGGATGATGGTGATGAACTGGTGGATGCCTGTGGTCAGAAACATTCCTGACAAGATCTCCAACTGTTGTGCATTTGCCCTTGCAGGTCTTAACAATGCATCGCCAGTGCTGACATGTCTGTCGTGTTGTGGACTTGTTGTAGAGGAATCCGTCAAAAAGAATTTGTGATCGGCCTCGCTGCGATGTGACATACTCTACTCTTTGTATACCAGCCATGGTTAATGTGCAGGGGTCATCCCCAGCCATTTAGTGTAAACATATTTTATTCAAAATATATTGAACTAGGATTGGTAAACAAGCCGTAATGGCTTATTTGAATACCTCTCCATTTCATTGATACATGAATAAAACAAATATTAAATAATATGCAGCATAATAGGAAAGCAAGCAACCTGCGTATTAAACATTATTAATCATTTATCAAACCTATGCGATTTTATTATAAACGTATGGACAGATTGTAGTATGAAAGTACATTTTTGTTTGGATTACCTTTTAGGACAGAATTTAAATTATATCCATGTTCGTAAAAATACATGCGATGTCTGATGTTAGAATAATTAGAACAAGTAAAGAAGTAATGTAAAGTATCCTCATAGGGGTGACCACAGGAACAGAATGGATCAACTGAAATGTGCCGTTCAAACATGTGCGTTTTCAAATTACTGCACCCAAGTCTGAGGCGTGAGTGGATAATTTTGCAGAAACGTGTACCAAAGTTTTTATCAAATATATTAAAATTGGGTGGTTTTGACGATTGGAATGCATTTTTGAATTGGCCTATGGTCTCAATATCGTACATATTCTCAGGCAAATCATTCCATTGTCGTATTGTATCAGGTAAAAACGAGTTGCTATAATATCACTACGACATCTTATAGTTTGAATGTTATTACTGTTTCTTAATCTATGGTCACTTAACTGTGATACTTTTTCGCAGTAGATTTTCCCCAGCCATTTATAGTAAATGCTGTATTTTCTCAATATAATTGAGTTAACTCTACTAAGTAGTTAATCCCTCCTTGAGAAGAAGAAATCATCTCAAGATAAAAAGAACTGAATGTAAATATTAAATGCTAACTATAAAATCATCTTTCATCAAACAGACATTTCTTGAGTAAAACATCAAAACTGCTTGCTCTTAATCCCTTTGATCCATTTGCCAGTTTAGCTGCTTTACTATAAATCCTTCAGTTTGGGCTAGTCCATTATTGTTGTAGGTACAGCAGTAATTAACCCCCAACTTGACTGTGTAACAACTGCCAATATCAGAGTGTGTTACAACTGGCATGTGTAACAAATGGGAGACAACCATCTGCACAATAAATCAGACCTTGACATAACGTGCACACTCAAAGCTGCCAGAGGAAACAGTGACTTGTTATGTGCTGAAGAGAAAGAACAGTTCTCTTTTAACTGCTGTCCAGTTTGTGACGGCCAAGTGTCGGCGGTACCTCGACATATCCGGCCATTGCAGTGCGGTGATTGCATGAGGTAATCGTGCGAAAAGGACATTCTGAATTGATACCATGTTTGCCCTTTTCTCTACATATATATCTGTCTGTCATCTCCGCCCTTCTTTTCCCGTATAGTTATTTAACTGTCCTTCGTAGACAGGTTTTTATAATTTACTGTTACTTACTATGTATACCGATTAATTGTTCTCGTTACGATATGGCTGAAATATTGCCCATGTGACGATAACTTTTAACACACTCACTCACTCTTTACCCGTCTCTGTCTCGTCGGGATGGAAGGGGCCCACTGATAAGGGCGTTCGCTCGTTATGCCGGGGACCTGGGTTCGATTCTCCACATGGGCGCAGTGTCTATCCACCTGCATAAACGCCCTTCCTAGATGTATCCATCCAAACCACAGAAAATGGACTCAGAACCTCCCACGCACACAGACCAGTACATCCATTACAACTCCTGCCACCATCCCAAGATAAAACTAGCCATCATCGCCACCCTCACTCGACGTGCAAAAGCGATCTGCCATCCCGACGCTCTCAGCAACGAACTGGACCATCTCAAGCACACCTTCACCTCACTCAATGGCTACCCTGCACATGTAGTCTGCAGAATCATCAACAAGACCCTCAAAACATCCAAACCTAAACCCAAAGCTGCCCCATCACCCATCAGGATCACCATTCCCTACCTAGGCCCTGTCAGCCACCAGATCTCCCGACTAGTAAAGAACAAGGCTAATATTGATGTCACCTTCTCCAGCAACAAGACCATCAAAACCCTCCTGCACGCCAATGGCAGAGGCACCAGCAGCTCAACACCCAACCCCAGAGGATGTGTATATCAAATTCTCTGCAATTGTGGTGACCCATACATCGGCGAAACCCTCAGGCCCCTGAACACCAGACTCAAAGAACATCAAGCATCCGTCAACAAACTCGACCTCAAATCTGCTGTTTCTGAACACATCAACAAGAACCAGGACCACGCCATCATATGAGAAGCCAAAAAAGTCTTATCTATGAACAACAACAACAACTGGCGGCAAAGAAAGTTGCAAGAGGCCAAAGACATCAGAAAAAGCCAGCCAGCAATCAATCGTGACCAGGGAACATATCTGCCTAGCGCTTGGGACTTATTAATTTAATTTAATATCACTGCTGGTCTCTTTGTATTTGTATTTATTACTATTAGGTCTCGCTTCCATTAGTTTCCATTAGTTTTCTTACCAATCAGGCCTGGATTAACGATCCCTGGCTTCCTTTTGTCCATCCACCAATTAACTACTGGCTTCCTTTGTTATAACGTTGTTGTTTCAACATGTATATTTATAGCTGTTTGTTCCTAATTATTTCATTCACCTGATTAAAGAGTAAGAATATACTTCGAAACGTCGTGACCCTTCAAAATAAAGAAGTTGTCATCCATAAAACACTCTTGTCTTTATGCGATTGTCCCTCTAAATATCCGGCTAATTCCTTTTCAAATGTTTGTGTCCATTGTACATAATCCATATTCAATTTGTTGTTAATCTTCATTAATGGGGGAAATGAAGAAGTTTATCATCTAATGGAGGGTGTTATCGGTGCAATAAAGCAATCTGACAAACTTGGTATCCAAATCTGACAACTATGCAAATTACGTCAATCCACGAACTACTTTCCCAAAACTCCAGACACGCCATTCGAATCCTAAAACGTTAACATATCATTGATGACGTCATCGCGAGTTTACATTATTTGTAAACAAACATGGCTGCCCCCATTCTCAAAATTGGTGATTCTGTAAGAATTGATGACAGAGGTTCTGGAGTCGTTTCTACAGTAACTGACTTTGGAAAACATGAAACGGAGTACTTCGTTCAAATTGAAGGTACAGATTATGAGGCACGACTGAAAAGCAATTGTCTAAGAAAGGTACCAGTCAAGGATTTCGATCTATCGATCACAATACAGACGACGAATCGATTCCGTCATGCATCAGAAACTGATATTGATTAGGTGATTACCCGCAATGAAAATAGAAACACTGCCATGAAAACCCTGCCCGATTTTGTTGTTGTTTTTAGTCAGAAAGATCTTATTTTAAGCATGAGTTATGTTTGCACTGTATTAGCGACTAGTCACAACCATATGGCGCCGTCATGAACGACCTTCACCTTGGTGTACCGCTAAGTATTCTTACGCTTATGCTCGATTCTCTTCATATATAAATTCAAGTATGATTTGCTTCTTTTTAAGAGTAATTTTAAGAATGACATTATATGATAAAGAGATCATTAACCTCGTGTGTTTCCGTATCATTAATATAATATATTAGGAAAAAAATACGTATTATGCTCGCCAAAGGCTCGCATAATACAATTTTTACTCCTAATATATGATATTAATTATAGGGAAACACACTCAGTTAATAATCTGTATATATACATTAGCTTTTCCTTGAATTTGGCGAAGGGATGACTCGTTTTCTAGAATTGGTTCGACAGGCATGTTCAGTAACAGTACCGCGAGCGCAGAGCGTACACATTATGCTGTCTTGGTAATCACTGTATGAATCCATGCGCCCTATATCAACATGCGTGCTCATAAATGCTGACCCGGTAGTATTTTGTTCGTTCCAATGGAAACGAGTCGGATTTGGATTCGGTACAGGGATGAGCTCATTTCCGGAGCAGAACTCAAAAACCGTTCATTATATCTTTTTGAAACTGTGCATGTGCATTACCAAAGCACTGAAGTGGTGCTTTTGGATATTTTCAGATTTCTGAAAAAAAAAAATTCGTTTCCATGAAAACGAGTTGGATTTGTACAGGGATGGATGAATGGCTTTAAATGGGTAGGATTCGCATGACTTTTGCAAATAAGTGGGGTGATATGTCATCTTTTGATGACTTGTGATCATAGAAGCAATGTCTAAGTCCATTCTTCCTCCATCCGTCACTAGTCCTTCATTTCCATACTTAGTTAGACATGACAAAGACCTTTAATATGAAGTGTCACATACTGGAGATCATGAGAGTACCGATCTCTAATAGAAGCGAGTCTCTAATAGACGGTTATCGTGATGCTCTTGAAATCAGTTTCACCCCCAAATCATCTCACGTCCTTCTCACAAAATTTCTTAATTTACTCAGGTGCCTCCAACGTTACCTTTTTAAAGGCTTTTCTTATTGTTATACACTTCCAAACTTCCGATTTCATTGGATTCGCAAAGCCCATCTAGGAATCGTTCAAAATCAAGGTCCTCCAGTAGTGCCAAACATTTCCAAATCATGATAAGTTAGCGTGGTCATTTCGGGCACCCACGTGGATCCTAGTACTATTTTGTTCTTCCTTCGTGGGTACACGATTGAGCAAGTTGTCTAAATGTGCGTTCTCACGGTGTAACAACTTGCAGCATGATTACACGGTGGCTGAGCGAGTTAGGCGGCTGACTTCGTGAACTGTCGATTAGGTGCCTGACTCTGAAGGTGTGGATTCGAATCCCGGATGGGACTCAACACAACACGTACTAGAATCTGTACTTTACTTAAGAAAGTGTAATCCCAAATATAACATCTGTTACAACTTGTAGCATGCAACACAGTTGCAACGTGAGAACTAGGGGTGACTATTGAGGGGGAAACAACTATTGCGATAGCGATGGTGTATTGCAAGTTACTTCTGCGTTAGCCATAGTCTATTGCGACCAACTATTGCAATACTATTGTAATAGGTTTTTTTCTCCTTGAATTGTCTCATTTGAAGTCATTTCTAAAATGAATGTATAGTTTATATGAACTATAAACAAGTTGAAATAGTTTCAGTCTCTAAATGACAAAAAACTTGAACATATTGATCAAGTAAACAGTTAGAACATGAAGTCAATGAAACTGCAAGTCTGCACCCGAAACACCTGAAGCCAGGAACCTCAAAGTGATGGCTAGCTTCAAGCCTGGAGGTAGCACCTTTCTCATATATGTATCCTGTCTCTGTATTCTTGGTCGCGATCCCTGCACCAACTCGTCAAACATGGCAGGCACCATCCTAAGGTAGTTGAACAAAGACTGCGTGTCCGCAATTCTGAGCTCCTCCACCAGTCTTGTGTAATATCCATAGAGCCTCCTTCGTTTTGTCAGCCATGGTCTGGTCTGGAATCTCCTGGGTCTTCTCCTGTTTCTTCTCCTGTCTCCTCCACATCTCTTTCAATCAGGTCTTGCTTAAGGACAGCAATCTTGAGCAACGCAGCATGATCCAGGGGGTCCATACTGTATAGGAGTTGGGCAGAGACTGATGAATAGTCAAGATTTTTATACCCCATCGCAGAACATTCCGGCAACATTCTTGATGCATTTCGGACATTCGTGTTACATTCTAAGTGAATTTGAAACTCATTGAAATATTCGAGCTCCATTCTTTAACATTCGACCCATATTCGGTGGTCATTCCATGAGGGTTCTGAATGCATTCTATGTAAATTCGTATAGCATTCGAGGTACTTTCCAGCTGAAATTCGAGTGCTATTCACGCAGCAATCGAACCGGACTCAAAATTTATTTTAAGTATTCTTAGCGTATCTAATTATTCCTACTGTATTCCGATTCATTCGAGTTGCATTCGTGACCTGGTACATTTGGAACGAGTAAGAATCATTCGAGGCGGGTCGAAGTGCCTTCTAAGTATTCCAACAGTGTTCTTACAAAGCTTGAACAAATCGTTTGATTAGACATATTCTCTCCCGAATGCGGTTCGAATTTTGAAAATATTTTTTTCTGGCTGATTCCTGTCAATGAGCCTTTAGTGAAAAAAGGTCTTGAAATTGTTCTGTTTCTGTTGCATTTCGACCCTTGTAACAATGGTACCTTTGTCCGTTATAGCCATGGATGTTGTTTGTGTTTGGTAACCTTGGCACTGACATCTATTCTGGTATGTGTGTTACCTATCAATATATTGCCTTCTTTTATGATTTCTGAGCATATTTTTGCAGAGTTTGGTCGATGTGAGTGTTTTCAACGATTTTCTTCTTCATCTACAAAAAGACACTTGTAACTTTTCCTGTGCAAAGGCTTTTGTAAGTTAGGCGGAGGTCTGTGTGGAGCAGTCTCTTTGTCTCTCTTTCTCTTTACTGATTGCAGCTGACATTAATCTCTTCGCATCCCTGGACTTAACAAGCATGTCCTTGACGCTAATGGGTTTTTCCCACATTGCAATCAAGCGGTCAGTGATCTGAACGGCTGGGATCATTGCCTTTGTAAGCGTATATCTGCTGGTGTTTTAAATCTCTTGACTAAAATTTGTCTTTGTCTGGCCCAGATTGTGCTAGCAATAGGAGCCTCACAGATTCTAGGTCTTTTGTATTTGTCCATTGTGGCGTTTAATTTTCTTTTGCTGATATTGTGTTTTACACTGTCACTTACGATAATGGCCAACTCCCTCCCAGCATCGCCAACGTTTCAAAATTATAAGTTCCGCCACCAAATTAACCACATCATATTCTTTGGGTCATCGGTTTTATCACTGGTTAACAATTTACTCATCGTCGTTGTTTTCTTAATTTGCTTCATAAAAACATCGTGTAAATTGTCCGACATTTTCGCCATCACTACTCTCTAATACTTCCGCCTCAATCGGAAAATTTCCTGAATTTCTTAACGTGTGCTCATGCGTAGAAAGGTCAATTTTGCGCTTAGCTAAGAATTGCGAGCAACTAAATAAGGAGGCTCTTACAATGTGGGGAAAACGTTTGGAAGTGTTTTTGAGGAGTGACTGTTTTGAAGACATTGAGAACTTTGCCAAGAAACTTTTTATTTTCTTCAGTAAGAGACTAAATAATTATAATATTCGGAACTGATGTCGGACACAGTCTTGAGTCTTGCCCGATATCTTCCTGATACGGCATATACTTAAATCAGGAATACTTTAAAGAACATAAGTATAGTAACGTAACGCTGGCGCAGTTGTCCTCTCCTACGCCACATGGCTCAACCACTCATTTCTAGTCTTTGTAGTGAAATCTGTGAAATATGTCGAATAATGTTTAAGAAAAATTGTGTAAACTGTGTTTACACATCAAAGTGGCATCAAATCGTCACGACTTTTGCAAACGTTGGACAAGTTTGCTTTTCGAAATGGAACAATAGTCAACACTAATTTGGCGATAAGCTAAGTCTTCTCTCTAAAGTTGACAAAAGGATTGGTGTACGCATATCAATTGAAATTATTTTAATATAACCTGCATTCAGAGAATATTATATGGGTTGTGTGTATTTATTTACAACTGTGAGTGAGTGTGTTTTTCACTGCCTAGCAGTATCCCATCAATATCACAGCGGGATACACAGAAAAGGACTCTAACATTTTACTCACAAGGGTAATGGAATCCGAGGCAACCCCTACAAGGCTCCATTTATATAACAGATACACCAGAGACACATAAGAAACACTGACTTAAAGGCTCAGTGTAACCTGAGGTTACCAAACGTGTTCAGTGGGTGACAAATCAGCATTAGGATTGTTCTGATTAAGATACTGCTGTATAACTCGAGCAGCGTGTGGTCTGGCGTCATCGTACTGGAAGGTCTCCTCACGGCCATTTTGTCCCAACCACAGTAAAGCGTCCATTTGGAAAATCTCGTCTTGGTACCTCATACCATTGAAGTTCCCCTCAATCATTGGCGTCCTTGCTTGAGCTGTTATCCAAGCCCAGATAATAACGCTCAAAAACGACCCTCTTCCAGACCATATGGCCTGATGGAACCCTGTATGCCTGTGTCCTGCTGTCAGCTCGGTGAAGAAGGAAACTGGACTCAGAGATCTGACTTGAAGAAAACTCTTCACTCACGTGATCCCTCTCGCAAGTGTTTTCTGCACCAATGAATACACTGACTTCGCGGTTCTGGCGTCAGAATTAGCCGTCGGGCTTTGCGTCTTAAACGGGTGCTATAGACGTGTAGACGTTTTCGAGGCGGTATACTTCTTTTATGTTACGTATGGTGCGTGGTTCGAATCCATTCTTCTTGATGTTGGCGGCAACAACGGGACGGTCTGTAACTATATGTTTTGCTTAAAACTTCGCCAAAAGTGTTTCTATGAACGTTCAATCGACGAGCCACGTCACGCAGCGAGGTATCAGACTGAAGCATACCAATAGCTCTCCTTCTGTCGGTTTCTTCATAAGACTGCGACCCGTGAAGGTCCGGGTTAGAATTGGCCTTCAGTAACCAATGCTTGTCGTTAGAGGCGACTAACGGGATCGGGTTGCCAAGCTCGCTGGCTTGGTTGACAAATGTCATTGATTCCCGATTGCGCAGATCGATGCTCATGCTTTTGATCACTGGAATATCTGGTCCATACTCAATCATTTACAGACCGCCGCCATAAAGCTGGAATATTGCTGAGTGCGGCGTAAAACTAAACTCACTCACTCATAATGGAATGATAAGCGTCTGGTTGTCTGGCCATTTAAAGTGAACATTGCTGAACATGTATTTTTAATAGTGATGCAGCTTACCAGTGAAAACATTCCATGCCACAATAACGTTTGTCTCTAAGTATATTTTATATATTGTGTACATTTGTATGTGGGCCTTCTTTTTATATAAAAGCCTGTATAAAATGAATTCACACTATCAAAGGATTCACAAATGTATTTCGTATTCATGGTTGTTTAACATAGTATGTATCATTTTGCATCATCGTGATACATCAAGTACTGATAATACTTTTAACCGAAGTCTGGGACTTCACCAGTAACGCCTGACCCATCGGATAATGGACTGAAACACAAGAACAATGGTAGATGACACGAATACCAATTTGTTACATAAGGAAAGTAAACCGGGTTTGGTATTTAGTGACTTAAAATTGAAATATCTCTTGAAAAATTTGAAGTGTCTATGTAAACACATTCTGGCAACATTTTGATAAAAGAATTATGTGGCTTGGTAATATTGTGTAAAATAAATGACAAAATGAACCATACCATATTTAAAAAATATGTTCGTACCGATAAAAGAAAACGTATCAAATCAAAACATTGATTACAAAACAGTCTCGTTTCCTGCTGACTGGGCTCCGTCCTATTGCGCACCTTAGCACAATAACCAGTCCAGAATTGTGAAACCAACTCATTCAACTGGATATATAAATATGAATCAGTATTATTCGATACATTTAATCACTTGTATATTGCAACACTACGCTCCTTTTAATCCTTGCAAACACGTCCTGTAGCGTGCCCTGTCGTACAGCTTGCTCTGACAAAAGGAAATATGTAAATCGTGGAAATCTCAAAACGAGGCTCGGCCGCTAGAAATGTTTGGTACGGACTTGATATAATATCAATCAAATTGTACGTTACAAAAATACATGTAATAAGCGCAAAGAACATATAACAGGTGTAACCAGTGAGCCAGATGAATTGTGAGTGAGTGAGTGAGTTAAGATTTAACGTCACATCGGCAATATTTCAGCCATATCGTGACGAGAAAACATATTTGACATTGAAATGAAACATGTGTATATCATATAAACCCGTCGTCAAAAGGCAGTAAAGCAACTAGAATATAACAATAAGAGTTAAAACTAGCCTGGAAAGTTAAAAACTCATAGCACTATTTGGACAATACAATATATAAACAGGCTATAGATCGCAAACACCTGAAAGTAGATCATCATACTAGGGACCATGGGGACTTACAGTACCTTTGCTACCTGCATGGACCCTAGTTGGATTTATATCATCCCTTCAGCTGTTGGCGATTGTAAGAAATGTAAGCCAAAATTAAAATAACAAGAATACTACGTTTTAAAATCCTGTTAAGTTTGAATTGACTTTGAAAGTCCTCTCAGGAGGATAATAATTTTACGATACTTCAGCCCCCGTTGAGGATACAGCCACTAATAATCTAAGTTGATAATGTAAACTGCCAATTATAAAACTTTATCTATTTACAAAACATATATCAAAATCCGTTTAACAAATCTATCTCTTTTAAAAAATCAATGATTAAATGATCATTAACTTTATTAAAAAGGTCCTTTACAGTTTTGATATTGAAATGTTTATCCCTTATGATGGAGAATTCAACACAGTCAAGCAGGAGAGGCTTGACTGTGACTCTCTCATCACAAGGGATACAAAACGGAGTGTGTGAGTGAGTGAGTGAATATTTAACGTCACATCGGCAATATTTCAGCCATATAGTGACGAGAACAAGGTAATTTATATCAATATTAAAAACAATAAAGTTACAACATAAAAATCCGTCATCGAAGGACAGTAAAAATACTACAGCATCACAGACATAAAATTTAAAACTAGTACACTATCATAAAATTAAATCAGAAGGGACAGTACAAATAAAAACGGGCAATAGATCATCAACAACTGAAGGTAGATCACCAAACTAGGATCCATGGGGACTAACAGTACTTTTGCTACCTGCATGGACCATAGCCGGATTTACACCATATCCCTTCAGCTGCCGGCGAATATGCTGAGGCTTTGCCATTATTAAAAATAACAAATATACTACATTTAAAAGTTTGGTAGAGCTACCCTCTCAGGGGGACAATAATTTTACGAAAGTTTAACCCCCCTTTGAGGATACAGCCACTAACAATCGCAGTTGGAATTCATACTACAGTGTTTAAAATACCATTCATTTATTTACAAAACATACTATTAACAATTTATGTAATAATTCTATTTCTTTTTAAAATTCCATTACTAAATGATAATTAACATTATAAAAAGGATCCCTAATTTGACATTGAAATATTTATCCCTTGAGATGGACAAATCAATATATACAGTCAAGCAGAAGATACTTGACCGTGATTCTCTCGTCAAAAGGGATACAAAACGGAGGATCTTCACCTTTCAACAGGTATTCATGAGTATATCTAGTATGGCCAATTCGACATCGTCGCATGATGACCTCTTCAAATCTAGACTGACAACCCAAGTAGGTGTAACCAATATAGGGCTTTATTGCATGTAATTTGTTTTCACCTAGTTAAGGGTCCCATTTCTTCTGCATCACATCACGGATGTACAATCTAATGGCTGCTTTGTAATCGGAGTACGGAATAAGAAGTGGTGTCACAGGTTTGTTGAGAACTGCCTTGGCAGCAAGATCGGCCACTGTGTTCCCAGAAATATCAACATGGCTGGGTAACCAACAAAAGACGATGTCGCATTGGCCAGTAGCAAGATCATTATATAATTCGATTATTTCAATTAAAAGTGGATGTTTTCAAGAGAGATTTTTAATAGCCTGAAGGCAGGAAAGTGAGTCTGAAAATATGATATATTGTTTATATTTAGGGTGTTTTTTAATATATTTAAGCGCTGTTAATATGGCGTTAGCTTCTGCTGTGAAAATAGAGCCGTTATTTGGTAATCGGGAAGATATTGTTCTGGATCCAATGACAGTGGCACAAGCAACCGCGCCACCATCCTTGGACCCATCTGTAAATAAGCATTTATATGTATTATACTTACTTTTTAATTGATTATATTCTTGTTTATATTGTAAGTCATTAGTTTCTTAGGACTTAGTATCTCCTACGTAGGACTTAGTATCTCCTACGTAGGACTTAATATCTCCTACGAAGGACTTAGTATCTCCTACGTAGGACTTAGTATCTCCTAGGTGGGTATCTCCTACGTAGGACTTAGTATCTCCTAAGTGGGTATCTCCTACGTAGGGCATATTATCTCCTACGTAGTACTTAATATCTCCTGTAGGAGATGATTGATATACGTTTATATAGATTAATCTGAAACGGTCGACTTAAATCCCCAGACACGCACACAATCTCCTGTTTCACTGTTTCAGTCACTGTGAGAGTCTACAGTCATTCGTTTCATTCACTATTAGAGTCTACAGTTATGTGTTTCATTTACTGTTAGAGTCTACTATCATGTGTTTCATTTACTGTTAGAGTCTACTGTTTCCTTCACTATTAGAGTCATGTGTTCAACTAATTGTTGCACATTACTGTGTTGGACCGACTGTTTTACTTTACTGCCTTGCGTTCAGTTTGCTCATCTATTACGCGTTGCAGTAAGTTCACTGTTATATGTTGCACTTTGTTACACTTTACTATTATGCGTTGGATATTTCAGAGGTCGTTGCACATGCATCATAATCTGCTGTACAGACGTTTCTTAGACTATCGGTGGCAATCTATGTGTACGTATCCCCTTATATTTATGCAAATAACTATAATGACAATTCTTGGCCTTTTTGAATTTCGCATTGTTTTACGCCGCACTCAACACTTTTCCAAACCAGTCAAGTCAACCTGTAAACAATTACGAAAAAAGCCGCAAACGAGTGTTGCATCCGAACCAACCTAGCCCCATCTGAAGACAAGCAACAACTTGTGGAGGTCGTGTTATAACCCGAGTTTCATATCAGAACCTCACCCCAACCATATATATATGGTCGATTTACATCATAGATATTAGTAACACAATACAATCTACATATTCTACGATTAAAAATAGTGGAAAGCTTGAATTTACTTTGAATGTTCACTGAATTAATTTACTGTTGAAAGTTCGTGATAAACAAATAAATAACACTGTCAATCTTGCCTAAGTTTCAAAGCACAATCCCAAGAATCCGGAACTTTTTCATATCATAAGACAAAATGTTCCAATTATATATGCTGATATTAAAATGAATCGAATTATGGCTAATGTAGCAATGATAAAGAGTAAACGCCAAAGCTGTAACTAAAAACACATATTACCACGTGCCACATTCGACTCATGTATTAAACCTACAGAATTCAGTGTCTCAAAGTGTAAACGGGTAAATTGTGGAACTTGTGAATATATACTTGAAACTTCATGTATAAAGTTCAAAAACAGGAAACAATTATTTCATGTACGCTCTAACATGGACTGCTCCGCAAAACATATTATTTATGTTATTATATGCCAAGGGTGTCATGAAAAATACATTGGACAAAGGAGTGCTTGAGGGACAGAATGCGCGTCCATAAACAACAGATTAAGGCCCCCAAAACAAGGTGCATCCCCTTAAGCGCCCACATCGGCAAATGCGCAGCAGGAAAGGAAATAAAATTTAAAATATTCCCTTTCTATAAAATGAATACTGCTGACGCCATGCAGCGTAAAGCTAAAGAAAACTTTTTCATTAAAGAATTAGTCCATCGTTAAATAGGTAACGCAATGTTTCTGAATTATACTTTTTTTCATTGTGCTACTAGTACTGGCAATTTAACCGCCAATGTGACGTCATGGCAACGCCGCGTCACAACATTTGTATACAGTTGCATTGTGACGTCATGACAAAGTGACGTCATAACATAATCCGTTTAACTGTAATCACTTCTCCATGAAGATAAAAGTGAAACATGTTGGAGAAGATATATATATGTGTGTGTGTGTGTGTGTGTGTGTGTGTGTATGTGTATTTGTGTGTGTGAATAGATGTATGATAGATTAAACATAACCATACCCAAACCTCCATAACTGCAATTAGAACAGGGTCCACGTCACCCTAACGTAATACACACACAATAACACTGTATAGTAACACTGCGTTAGTGTCAGAAATATTCACTGACACATTTCTGCTATCTAACGTCCTGCATAGCCAAACATTTCTCAACTTCATAATTCGAACCTTAAAAAGGATATATTAAGAACTACGTGGTAGGATATACTAAGTCCTACGTAGGAGATATATAGTATGTCCTACGTTGTGGTGATATACTTCAAGTCCCGTATTAGGAGATAGTATGTCCTACGTAGGAGATACTAAGACCTACGTAGGAGATATTAAGTCCAACGTAGGAGATAGTGACACACACAAAAATTTCACCGTGGCCCTACTACGCTTCCGTAATTTACAAATCAATTAACAAATCTAATTCTTTTGAAAATGCAATAATTAAATGAGAACTGATATGATTAAAAAGGTCCTACATAGTTCATGATTTGAAATAGTTATCCCTTGTGATTGAATATTCAACGCCGCCAAGCAGGACATGCTTGAACGTGATTCTTTAATCACAAGGGATGCAAAACGGAGGATCTTCACCTTTCAATAAGTATTCGTGTGTATACCGTGTTTATTGTAAATATCTCTTCATCCAATGATCCAATCGATCTCAAACTGTGCTAGTGGATGTTTTGTCAGACAACCTAATAACATTGTAAATAACCGATTTTATGCATTTGTATTAAAGAATCTGTCTATGTAACTGTCAACAAAATAAACAGCAGAACGCAGACTGCTTGCAGAGGGAGTTGCAGAAGTTGCATGGTGTGGGGTGCTTTCTGTGGGAACACCGTTCCCGACTTCTGGTCATCCGTGGAAACCTCACAGCTGCTGCTTACCGCGACCAGGTGCTCACCCCTGAACTCGTTCCTTTCATGGCGGCTCATGGCCCAGGTCTACAGTTCCAGCATGATAATGCTCCGCCGCATACCGCGATGTTGACACGAAATTTCCTTCAAAACGCTGGAATCAACGTCATGGACTGGCCATCGAGGTCCCCTGACCTTAATCCAATAGAGCACGTTTGGGATGCACTTGGGGGAAGGCTTCATGGTCTTAGGAACAAACCTCAGAATTTGTAGGAACTTGGCGGTGCATTGCAAGAGCAATGGCGCAGAATCCCCAACCATGTGTTCACAAGCATCAGGCAGTCGATGAGGAGACGGTGTTTGGCAGTGGTGAATGCGCCATACACGATATTGAACTGAGAAATTTCGCATTTGTATTCTTGTGACTTGACATTCTGTATACCCATGTTTTGGAACAGCGGCGTAGCCTAATGGAACTGATTATGGCACTGTCAGTGTATCGAGTACATCACACAGATCTCAGCAATGAAATAATAACAATTTAACCATCTTACCATCTCTTGTACTTTTATAGTGCCCTGAAGAAAGAATGTTTAGTTTCTTTTTTGACTCAGTATATATTGTAAAGATAATTTTATACGGCGGTGGGTAAGAGAAGGCTCATCTGCCTCGACGTAGAGACTGTCAACAGGAAAAGTCCTGAATGACCCAAGACAAAGTCTCAGACCTTGGTGGTCGACAAAATCCAATAGTTTTAGGTTGCTCCACCATATACGATGGAGCCATAATCAAGCTTCGAGCGGACCAATGATCGATATAGGTGTAGGAGGGTAGCTTGATCCCTTCCTCACTTTGAATTAGAAGCAACTTTCAATAAATCGTGTGCCTTCAGGCATTTAGTTTTTCGGGATTTAATATGTGGTAGAAACGTTAAATGGGAGTCGAAAATCAGACCTAAGAACTTGGCTTACTTGACAACTTTGATGGGAGTGCCATTAAAAAACAGTTCTGGGTCTTTATGCGGTTTATATTTACAGCAGAAATGTATGCAATTAGTTTTTGATTTGGAAAATTTAAAGCCGTTTTCAAGACGCCATTTTTTTATTTTGTTTAAACATTATTGCAGTTGCCGTTCAATAGTATGCATATTCTTACTGTGACAAGAAATGTTAAAATCATCCACAAAAATTGATCCATCGATTGAATCATTTTAAACCTTAGAGAGACTGTTTATCTTAATGCTGAAGAATGTGACAGATAAAATGCTTCCTCGTGGGACACCCTGATCCTGATTATAATGATCAGACAGGATAGAACCCACTCGGACTTGAAATTGCCTGTCAGTTAAAATCTTGGATATGAATTGAGGCAAACGGCCTCACAATCCAAAATCGTTTAAATCTCTTAATATCCCATGTTTCCATGGAGTGTCATATGCTTTTTCTAAATCGAAAAAGAACGACACTGCCTGTTGTTTTTGAATAATGACATTTTTAACAAAGGATTCTAAACGCACTAAATGATCGATGGTACTTCTGTTTTTACGGAAACCACATTGAATATCCGTTATAAGGTTAATTTATCATGCGTTCCATGGTTTTGCAAACACTGCAAGGATCAGTATGGTCACGTCCAGGTTTAGGGATGGGACAATGATATTAGGAAGAAGGAAATTTTCCAGACATCCAAATATCATCAAAAATGTTTAAGAGGGTCTCTCAACATGATTCCGGTAAGTGCTTAAGAAGCTGATAATGTATGTTATCAGCCCCTGTAGCAGTATCATGAGCTTGTGCAAAAGCAGTATGAGGCTCAGGAATAGAAAATAATTCATTGTAATCTTCCCCATTATCTGAATTGAAATCAATAGTTTTCTTTTCCTGTGTTTTATATTTTTGGAATTGAGGTGGATAATTCGAAGAGGAAGAGTGTTTGGCCAAAGTTTCTCCAAGTTTATGAGCAATATCAGATTTACTAGTTAATAATCCGTCTCCATCTTTAAGATGCTTAATACTATACTGGCCACATAAAGAAACTGTGCACACAGAAAATATAAACATAGGCACACAGCGTCTTCATACATAAACACATTTGTGAACATAGCAAGTATTGGAGACAATCAAACGCTCATGCACGTGCCAGGCGACGTGACGTCATTGACGGTGGCCTATGACCTTGCAATGTGTTACTGCACACAACATGTGAAACTCTGAAATTGCTGTCACTGTCGAAAGCTTGATCTTTGGTTATTCAAACGTTCACAAATTCACATGAGAAGTCACATGCACATCATGCCAAGATTAACATCTGTTCAACGTCATGAAGCCATTGGAATGGTTCGAGCAGGAATGAGCCAACAACAGGTGGCAACACATTTCCAATGCCATCGTAACACGATATCTGCATTGGTCAGGCGTTATCAAAACACGTTCTGGGCATTCCCGACGTAACGACGCCAAGACAGGACAGATGGATTTGGGTGACTCATCTCAGACACAGGTTCTAGACAGCAGTGACCATGTCCCAGTCCATTCCCCAGGCCTTCAGTGCTCATTTGGTATAGCCTCTATGCATCGTCGATGCACTGCTGTGCTCCACGCACACGGTGGTCATACCCGTTATTGACTTTGTGATTTCGTCGTGTGACCCCCTACTCGATTTTGAACTGCTGACGTCATCGTTACGGATATTGTTCATGTTCTGGAACATCTGCTCCCAGATCAGTAAAGGCGGGATATTGTCACATTAATGTTGACACCTACATTCCAAATCCTTTAAGGTGTTTTAAATGCCAGAAGTTTGGTCATGGTGTTAGTACTTGCACATTGTCTGTTGTGTGTGCTCACTGTGGTGAGAAGACACATACAACAGAAGATTGTGACAGTGAATTTAAAAAATGTATAAACTGTGCAGGCAATCACTCATCATTCTCAAACGATTGGCCGATCTGGAAACAGCAGATCAATAAGATAAAATTCACTCAAAACATAAGTTTTCCTGATGCCAAAAAGCTTGTCTTAAGATCTGAAATTGAGGAAACCTATGCATCCATAGCCAAAAAATCATCTGATTCAACACCTCCAATAGCCAAATCATCTGTAAGCTGTCAGACGAATTTTAGTTGGCTCAAAACCGATTCTCCTAAGATTTTGTCACCTGCTATGTGTACACAAACTGCGGAACCATCTTATGATAGTGACACATTTTCTCAGTCACCTCAAAGGTCTCAATCTAACACAAACGTCAAATGCAAAAGCAAACCAAAGCCAGACTCTTAATAAAAAGCAAAAAAAGTGGCAGAGACCCAAAAGAGTCAGATGATAAAATTTAATTATTTTACAAATACTGATCATTTGAGGACATGGACGTGTCCGACAACGTCCATTCTAGGGCACACAGCTTGTCGCCCTCGAAAAAGGGGTAAGACTTCCGCCCGTATCCCCCTTACATTTTAACGCTGAGGAAACTTTTCTTTGAGTGACATTTTTAGAAGTTGAATATGTGTTTCAGTATGTTCAGATACAATTAAAAAACATGTTAAAACTAATCCTTATCAGATGAGGAATATATGTTAGATTCTGTTGATATGATTTGAGGAAATTTAAGGGGGGATAAGGGCGGAAGTCTTTCCGAAAAAGGTGCAGGGTAGATCCCCAATTAATCCACCTAAAAGATAGGTTTTTCTAAAATTAATTCTAAAACTATTAATCCAGGATTTAACTCCATCAGCCTTCTGTCTGCAAGAAACGTATCTTGAACAGACAGATAATTTTAGCTTACGTCACTTTGAAGCCTATCATTATTTTTCCCCCTCTGGGTGATAGGGCCACTGGAGGTTCTACTATCCTTATACGACAGGATATTCACAACCCTGTTACACTTAACACTAATCTCCAAGCTGTTGCAGTGCGACTTACTCTGGGTGTAGCATTTACATTATGCTCTCTATATATTCCGCCTTCATCGGCACTTCAGCAGACTGATCTTCAATCAATCTATGATCAACTCCCAAAGCCCTCTGTTGTTATGGGTGACCTAAACGTCACAACCCGCTCTGGGGCAGTACTAACACTAATACTAATGGTAAAATACTGGAAGATTTCATTTCCAATAATGACCTGTGTATACATAATGATGATTCAAGTACCTATCTGCATCCTGCAACTGGCACTTATTCTTCTCTGGATTTGTCTCGTGCAGATTCTAACCTCCTGTCCATAATTTAAATAAATTCAAACTACTCAATGCGAAGGCACATCATACATTCAAAGAAAACAACCTTGGAGGAAATATGTCTCCAAAATTAATTCACGCACGCTCATGTCTTAGGTATGGAACATGATTCAGAGAATAAAAGGCAAAGGTTCAAAATCTGCTGTTCACCATCTTAAAGATGGTGGTAGTTTAATAACTGACAAATCTAAAATTGCCAAAAAATTGGCGAAACTCTTGCTAAATATTCCACAATTATCCAATGTGGTTTCAGGAAAAATCGTAGTACCATTGATCATTTGGTACGTTTAGAATCCTTTGTTAAAAATGTTAGAGTAAATGAACAACATGCAGTATCGATATTCTTTGATCTTGAGAAAGCATACGATACCACCTGGAAGCATGGCATTTTAAAGTTTGGTTTGAGGGGTTTGAGTTTGGTTTGAGGGGTCGTTTACCTCTTTGTATATTTTAAGAGACAGGCAATTTCAAGTCCGAGTGGGTTCATTCCTGTCTGACCATTATAATCAGGATCAGGGTGTCCCACAAGGCAGTATTTTGTCTGTCACACTGTTTAGCATTAAGATCAACAGTTTATCTAAGGTTTTATATGATTCAATTCAGGGATCACTTTTTGTGGATGATTTTAACATTTCTTGTCATGGTAAAAATATGCATCCTATTGAAAAGCGGCTGCAGTTATGTTTAAACAAAATAAATAAATGGTATCTTGAAAACGGCTTTAAATTTTTCTAAATCTAAAACTAATTGTATACATTTTTGTAGAAAATATAAATCGCATAAAGACCCAGAACTGTTTCTCAATGGCACTCCCATCAAAGTTGTCAAGGAAGCCAAGTTCTTGGGTTTAATTTTTGACTCTCGGTTCTGCCTCATATTTAATCCCTTAAAACTGAATGCCTGAAGGCACTTGACTTGTTGACAGTTGTTTCAAATTCTAAGTGGGGAGGGGATCAAGCTACCCTCCTACACCTATATCGATGATTGGTCCGCTCGAGGCTTGATTATGTCTCCATCGTATATGGTGGAGCCTGCAAAAGCAACCTAAAATTATTAGATTCTGTCCACCACCAAGGTCTGAGACTTTGGCTTGTGTATGTCAGTCATAGAGCTCCCCATGTATGTATGTCACGCCAGCATTCATGTATGAGCGCTGGACTGGTCTCTAGATATTGAGATTTGTGTGTCATGCTGGCGTTCCTACATGAGCGCTGGCCTGACATGGTTAGCCCCTCTCCATGTATTATGTATGTCACACCAGCGCTCATACATGAGCGCTGACTGAATGTGGTTTCTTGAACAGTTTGTGTTGCAAGGGTGAATTCTCGAATTTTTTTTGACGAGGCTATGTTCACATCTACAAAGCAGTTTAACGTGAATCTTTTTTTTCTCGTCTTCGCTGATGCCAGCGGTTTTCCAAGTCTTGGTTCGAATGGCTTCCTTCATGTGGTGGTATTTGGCGATTTCCGACATCACAAAACGAAACTCTTCCTCGGAGATTTTGCTATCGGTGATCGCGGTGGAAATATGATCGTCGATCATGTTCAGTTTGGCTTCAGCCAGCACCCTGATCTCGTGTTTTAAGGCCTTCCGTTGCAGACGATGCAAAATGAACTTCAGGGTTACTCCTGCTAGTCTCGATACCCCGGCGGCTATTTCTAACCCGAGGACGACGGGTGCGGCCACGATGGTGATAACAAGCCGATGCCGGCACCCCCGAGTCCCATGCCAGCGATCACGAGAGTCATGTCAATCCCATCGACGGCATTGACAGCTCGATGGTACTTTTTTGTGCAATCCGAGTCGCACATTGTGTTCTCGTTCCAGTTGGTGTTTGATTTCGCTGATCTGTCGCAGCCGAAATCCATCCACGGTTTCGAGCATTTGAGCCACGTCGTCCATGGCTGGATACAATCCCATCTCGAGTATATGACGAGTTTAGGAAATTAGCTTCAATTGGTCCGCCGTCAATCGTTGATGAATGTGCTTTAAGCTGATGATGTACACGTTTGCGGGTGCATAAATCTGGGGGAGTATAATTTCATCTCCAATAAAAACCTCGACTTCTTCGAGGCTTGTGGTGGAAGTCGTTCCTGGTTGCACATAAATACGACAGTGTTGATTTTGATGGCGATCGTGCCAGCGTATGGCTACCTCAGGCAGAAGTCCCGCCCGTTGTCCTGACGTATGTATAACGGCGTCGATAATAAGGGTAGAACCTGGTATCGCGGTGATCCACGAGTCTGGACTTCACTATATACTTTTAAAAAGAGCCATTTCGTTTTGTCTTCCGAGTGAGGGACTAGCATACAGCCCATTTGATCTGGTAATGGTGATGCGTACATTCCCTTTTCATGAACCAGAATAAAACTCCCTAGTAGAATCCCATTGTTTTTGATTTCGAGGATATTATGATCCTGATCCATGACGAGATAGGGGTAGGTCAGGACGATATTGATGATCCAGTTCCATTCGACAATGACTTCTCAACGTTGGTACACGTTGTTTTGTAAGTGCAGGACGTACAAGGCATTTTCCGTTCCGGGTTGATCGAATCTTGCGTGTCCCCGAGATCAGAGATGGCACCCACGGTTTACACTATTAGGGAAGATTCTTCTATTGGTATCGAGTAGCCAGTCGATTTGGGAGGAGATCAACTTCCATTGGTTATCATCGGTGGGGACGAACTAGTACAACGTGTTTTTTAAGAGACCTTGGGTCTCGACATTGTCTTAATCGCCTTGTCGAATGCCAGGACCATCACCCACTTATCATTAGACCACGAGGATCGGTAATTTCGAACCCAAGACGGTCGCTCTTGAGGTGGTAGGTTACCCGATGGCAACCCGACCGTTCTCGCCAAGGGCCTACCGAATCGGATTGGTTTTTCCCCATTCGTGAACGTCAGCATGCCATTCGACTCGTTGAGTTTGAGGCTGGCTCCCATTGGTTTGAAGATTCCGTCATTCAGCATGCACACACTGTAATAACCGTCGGAAACTCGTGGGGTTTGCCATTGATGAATAGCCTGTTGTTCCCTTGATGTTGACTGATGTTCGTCCACCATGGTGAACGAGGACAGAACGAGTTTTAAAACGAATTTTATCGATATTTTCAAAAACTATATCGTGACCAACAGTAACGCTGAGGTGGTGGTAAACTAGAATCAAAACCCGATGCAGTTTTGGCAAAACCAACTCATTTTTGCCGTGTGGTGTGTGACGACGGGATCGGGTAAGACATTCGACTACGGAACGGACAAACTGAGTAAGGCGGTGACTTTGTTTCACGTTTATTATCAGGCGAGACGGATTTTGAAGGAAAGATACAGCGTGGAGCATGATCGATAACCCCGTACGATCGGCGTGCGTACGAACGTATTTGGGGGGAATTCATGATTCCAACCAATAAAGACTTTCACCTTCCCGGTGTGAACCACGGTCTTGGTAAACTTGTTTCTACAAATCCAAAACGTTTAGACTCGCTTATACGGACGGTAGGTACATACCCGGGTACCAAACATTTACGGGCCCCACGACGCATGAGCAAATTTACGTCCATACATCAAACAAACCGATCCCGACGCAGTCACAGCCTGGATGAAAATGATCTCAAAAACGGTGAAAGGGTTCACTTGCACTGGTACCATCCACTTGAACGATTCGATTCGAACGTACTCTTGTGCTGTGCTAGGCTCTCAGGCGCAGACGCACTCCAGTATTATCATTAAGGGAACCGCTTACGCCGTGCAGAAGCAGTTCGTGGTGAACGTCGAGGACGCCATCGCCAGCCCGGTTGATTGATCGATGGCCATCAAGCAATACCAGGACACGTTGGAATACCCCCGGTCGAAAGTCGACTACGTGTTCGGCATGGGACTGTACATGGCTCCGAGTGACATGCGACTGAGGATCCACAAAGAAGTGGGCTACAACAACAAAATCGTCATCGCGACTGCCGATCAGAAACTGGGCGTCAATCCCGATGTCAACATGATTCACGTCCCACCGCCCACGCATACCGGTGAAATGGGGATCGTGACGCCACCACCAGCACCAAAGCCCAGCATTCAACAATCACCACCATGCCTATCAACAGCGCTCATGGTCTGCGGGATCGCCATGGGGTTGAAACTTCTTTAGCAGCGACGTACACCAGACCGGCCACAGGTTCTGACCGAGCCGCGTGACCGTTTTCGACAACAACCCCAGCAACCAGGACACGATGCTTCCCAAGATACTGGGCAGGGCCTTGGCGGCTCTGCCCGCAAATCTCCCCAAGGTTTCCCTGAGCGACTTCAACTGTTTTTTAATCCAGTCTCTGACGTTGCCGACTTTTTCGGGTGGTGTTGGTGTCGGTGTCGTACCTCCACCGCCTGTCAGCGCTAAGACGAGGGTTGAGACGATGAAGCCCAAAGCCGTCAGATTGCTGGAGATGGTGATCCCTTGCTCCTGGAACAACGTTTGGATCCTGTTGGCCAACGTGGTGTCCTCGTTCAACACTCGGTTGATGGTTTCGTGCACACTCCTGATCTGGGATCGAAGCTCGTCTCGGTTGTACGACGCCGCTTCTAATCGGGTCGATCATTCTTCACGCAGCTGACGTAGCCTTTCCTCGATCCGACGTCAGCTGATGTCGTCGTCCATATCATCCGCTTGTTTGAGTTTGGTTGTCTCAGTTTGGCCATGTTGTCCACGAGCCATCCACGAATGGTTTGCAAGGCCTTGTCTACCCTCGCAGTTCCCTGAGGGGAAATTCAAACCCGGGCAAGGGTTCGTCCTCGCAATATTTTTTCGATGTCGTCTGACGTTTCTTTGGCACGTTGGGGCACATCTCTCAGATCGTCTCTGGCGGTGATATTGTCGAGTCCAGTCCTTGCATTTTCCAGATCTTGGATGACCTGGGATGGAAGTTGTTTGGGTTGTGCGCTGCCGTAATCTCGCAGGTTTAATTCGTCGTGAACAAATTGGACGCCGTATTTGCCGGTGGCAAGAGTCGACAGAGTGAGTGGTTTTCTCCTGCGGGTATTCATCAGATCGACCTTCACATCTGCTCTCAATCGCAGCGTGCCCATTTTATCGATAAAAAACTTGAAACGGTCTCGATACGGTGGCTCGACGTAATTTTTATCTCGTCCCAAATCATCGTAATAATCATTGACAGTCTGGCTCCATCAACAAAAGACG